TCCACAAGTCTTAAAGTGGCCCAGGTTGGAGACCCCTGACTTAGATGGCCCTTCTGATCTCTTCCAACTCTATCATTCAAAGCTGGCTGGGGAATTCTGGGAGTTGAAGTCCACAAGTCTTCAAAGTTCCCAAGCTTGGAGATCCCTCCCCCTCATCCAAACCAACAGCATTTTCCACCTGGACTGAATCTGAAATATTTGCTAGTTCTCCGAAGGGGTCCATCAGGTCATCCAGCCTGACCCCAACCTGTTTGCACAGGATTTCTTTCTTCCGAGGACCATCCACGCACCTCGGCATTCTTGTAGAGGAAGACCTTCTCCCCAGCCACGGCCACGTAGAGCTTGTTTTTGAAGCCCCTCAACTCCAGGGGTCCGTTCTTGTCCACGGAGTCAACGCTGCTGCTGGCCGGTTGCAGACGGGAAGTTCTGTGAAGGCACCTGGACTTCTTTTCGTCCACCATCTTCTGCACGGCTTTGATCCACTCGTTGCGTTCAGCTGCAAGGGGGAAGGCGGACAGGTGGGATTACAGAATAATAATTGAGCTGGGAGGGGCCTTGGAGGTCTTCTAGTCCATCCCCCTGCTCAAGCAGGAGACCTTAGACCAGGGGTCTCCAACCTCAGCCACTTTTAAGACTTGTGGACTCAACTCCCAGAATTGAACTCTGGGAATTGAAGTCCAGAAGCCTTAAAATGGCCCAGGTTGGAGACCCCTGACTTAGATGACCCTTCTGGTCTCTTCCAACTCTATCATTCCCGACTGGCTGAGGAATTCTGGGAGTTGAAGTGCACAAGTCTTAAAGTGGCCAAGATTGGAGACCCCTGACTTAGATGACCCTTCCGGTCTCTTCCAACTCTATCATTCCTGGCTGGCTAGGGAATTCTGGGAGTTGAAGTCCACCAGTCTTAAAGTGGCCCAGGTTGGAGACCCCTGACTTAGATGACCCTTCCGGTCTCTTCCAACTCTATCATTCCCGGCTGGCTGGAGAATTCTGGGAGTTGAAGTCCACAAGTCTTAAAGTGGCCAAGATTGGAGACCCCCTGCCCTAGACCATTTCAGACAAAAGGCCGACCAGACTCTTCTTAAAAACCTCCAGGGCTGAAGCTCCCACTACTTTCTTTTTAATTAGTTCGTTTAGTTTACTTTATTGCCCTCGCACCTCGTGCAACGAAATTAAATACCATCTTCAGTGTACATTAGGACTATGAAAATAAAACGCAAACACACATCCTTCGCATTCTATACGATTGAATGAAAACCCCCTGATATTGCATTAATGTTGCATTATACAGCAGAATTCAACAGAGCTACTGCCCTGGGATAGAAGCTGTTTTTCAGCCTATTTGTCCTTGTTTTTATTATATACCACCTGCCAGGTTGTAATAGTTTAAAAAAAGGGGGTATAGGATAGCACTGTTTCGGTATCTGAGGGACTACCCCAACTTATTTTCCAAAGCCCCAGAAGGCAGGACAAGAAACAACGGATGGAAACTCATCCAGGAGAGAAGCGACCTGGAATTAAGGAGGAATTTCCTGACAGGGAGGACAATTAACCAGTGGAACTGCCTGCCACAAGAAAGGTGTGGGTGCTCCAACATGGGAAGATTTGAAGAAGAGATGAGACAGTCACTTGTCCAGAACCCAAAGGTGCTTTGTCCCAGGAGGCAACCGGACTTTTTCTTGTTTTTTTTCTTTGAAGACGTTTCGCTTCTCCTCCAGGAAGCTTCTTCAGCTCCGACTTGAATGGTGAGGAAGTAGAAGAAGTCAGAACTGAAGAAGCTTCTTGGAGGAGAAGCGAAACGTCTTCAAAGAAAAAAACAACAACAAGTCCAGTTGCCTCCTGGGACAAAGCACCTTTGGGACAACCGTGACCCGGATGACTGAGAATGTCCACGTAGACCTTTGTCCAGAATGGTGCAAAATCTCCTGCATGGGCGTGGGGGGGGGGGGGGTTGGACTAGATGACCTCCCAAGCCCCTTCCAGCTCTAAGATTCTATGCTCTGCCGGGTTTGGAAGGGAACCCTGGCTTTTGAGCATTTATTGCCCCCAATGCCAGAGCCGCAAGAGAGAACATCAAGGCGCCTCCTGGTTCTCCCACCAGAGAGATGAGCCACAGGGGGCAAAGCCCCCCCCACTCCATATTTACCATCGCTCTCTGCCCGGAAAGCGAATGTCCGGTTGTGAGTGATAACTTCAAACTTCTGGTCACCGATGCCGGACACCTGGGAGATGGAGGCCACCAGGATGAAGCGTTTGGAGTAGACATCCTGCAACGCAGAGGAGAGAGGAGGGGAGGAAGGGGGAACCCAGAGGTGCTCAGTCTGTGCCCCCTTTCTCCCAGGTAGACAGGAAGAGGAGACAATTTCTCAATTCCCAGAGTGTCCCGTCTTCCGTCCATCATAGAGCAACCTGGGCCCGTCGTTCTCTCAACTTTTCTTCATCACGGAGCCCCTTTCAGTGCCTTTCATGGGCACGGAGACCCCCCCCCCCCGCAAGAGTTAAGATTTCAACCATCACCTTGTTTCAAGCCTTCAGGGATTCCCTGTGATGATATGGGCCCTGAGACACCCCCCACCACCCCCGGGAGGAAGGGAGAAAAGGAAAGGTAGGGTGGGGTAGGAAGGGAAGGGGAAGAGAAGAGAAGAGAAGAGAAGAGAAGAGAAGAGAAGAGAAGAGAAGGAAGAGAAGGGAGGGAGGGAGGGAGGAGAGAGTGGGGAGAAAGAAAGAAAGAAAGAAAGAAAGAAAGAAAGAAAGAAAGAAAG